CGCAAGACAAACTCAAGGTATCCCCTAAAGGGCTACCTTTCGTGACTTGCTGCACATCCATCCTACATCTCACAAGAGCCCAATTAGCATCTATAGTCTATAGATCTAAGAACGGGAACTATACACAACAAGTGAAATCAAGTCTAACCACCTGTAACTTATACGAACAACTTGTTGAACCAAACCCCCATTGAAATCCATCGAGCAATCGTGCTTTTTCGCATACGGCCTCTGTTTTGGCAGCCAGAAGGCGATGACTCCTGATGGAACTCAAGGGATAAACATGTACATGTTAAGTCTTCTTCCTTTTTGCCTCGCGTGATTCGCATCACGTCCCCACTCTGACTCGCGTCGTTTCCACGGCGTCAACTCATCGGCTTCGCCATTGGCATGTCACGCAGCTCTGGGAACCTGAGCCGCCAAGAACGGGGGTGCCAAAGGAATCGAAAGAACGTCGAGATCCGCAGCACCCTAAGAATTCTGAACTCGTTGCTGTGAAAGTGTGGTGGCATCAAACTCTAAGTACGAATCCAGCAAATTCCACAGCAAGATTACAAAGAACATCTAGCAAGTAGCAAACCGCCTGACCGCCACTGATTTGCAAAGTGGTCATGTCAGAGTCGATCGTAGTTCGCGGGCGGAAGGGCCTGTAAATGGAGCTCTATGTCTCCTTTCATCTCCTTTCCATGGAAGTGTCGTCCATCGCCCTCTGAAAACCGGTCCATGTCCCACAGGTCCTTTGACGTCCTTTGACGGCCCGAACCGAACCGGGCGTCTCCTCCAGCCCTGCTCCGGCCGACGAATCCAAGGTCGATCTGAAGAAAGGGACCATCGAGCAAAGTTCTGCGGATCGTAGTCCACATCCCCCCTTGGCCATCCTGAGAGGGAGATCTTGGATTTAAAAACAGTTTGATTTTTTGGGATGGTGTAAGGCTAGCATGTATAAGTAGAAACCGTTCCACGCCTGGTCTACAACATGCTCATTGCTCATGGTTTAAACCTCAGGCATCATCCTCAGGCCAAGCTGCCATAGCTTGTTTATATATATATATATATGCACTAGCTGCTTGTCGGTGAGTTTGCTCAAACATGTGGTACCATTCCGAATGGGTTGGCTGTCCTGTCTAGTTACCCATGCCCAATTCGTGTTTCTTCGCCCCTCCCTGAAGTGAACATCTTGAAAAAGGACAAGCTCTTTTTCCCCATGCTAGTTCTCAGGGTCAACCGGACGCACATTGGATCTACTCGTTCTATTCCGTCACGTGGTGATGCACTGGGAGGGGTCTGGAGCAAGAGACCGTTCCTGCCATCGGATGGAGAGGGGTCCCCCAATCAGAAGTAGCCACCTGAGAATGGCGGTCATGAGCGGCTCTCATTCCTCCATGCTTCACTCATCAGCTGTTCACACGTCCTGCAGAATAGGAGGGCGCTAGACTCATCAGCCGTGCAGCCGTGCGCTAGACCCGTCTCCTTCCAGTTACACCAGCACCCTGCCCTGGTGCTCTGGTGCCGCACACGGTGCGGCAGAAAAACACACATCAAAGTCAGTCCCCTAAGAAAAAGCGGTCCAGAACAATAGCACACCAAGTCCTGATTGGAAAAGACATGCGCTATATACCTATATACGAACTCTGAATCCTACCGTCTGATCCGTTTGAGCGAAACCAAATCCACAGCTTCTCACCCAGGTACATGTGCATGATGATCCCATACCTCAGAGTCATTGCAAACGCCGTTGTTCCAAACAGGCCACCACTACTGGGGGTGCTGCTGCTGGGCAGGTAAAAACCACGTATCCAATATATCATAGACAATATATCATAGAATGTATTTGATATATAATATTTTAGAAGATGTAATATATAATATATATATATAGTTGTTCTCTTAGAAAAATGCAGGATAATGCAGGATACAATCAACTTACAAGTTGGCACACTAGTATCACGCAGGTTTTAGTTAGCTGCTTGGAGACCCCAAATCAATCATCATCATCGTGGTCAACCAAAGTCCTCCTGATGCAGCGGAGCAAATAGGAAGGGCAAGGCCAGGCCCGCTGGCGCATCGACACCCCATCCAACATGACTATAGTGTTGAAATTCCGAAGCGCCCCAAGCACCCCGATGTTGCTCGCAGTCCAAAAACACTCCATGAAGAAATGACCACTTGGAGTGGTAAGCAGGAGTGTTTTACTTGGAGTGGTAAGCAAGAAATGACCATGGGGCCCTGGGGTGGTCCAATTCACTTGGAGAGGTCAGCAGGGACGCTCCTCGACGCCCCAGCCACTGATGTTCACTGATCATGCTCGACCGGGAAGGCGTCATGGACCAAACCTGGAAGATGGCATATCCCTCCGTTGTGAACACATATGGACCGGAGGATAAATATGGATAAATGGTAATAGGGGCAGCTCCAACCACTGAGTGGTTTTCTATCTTTCCTCTTCTAAGTAGGTGTCTTTGGGTGGGTCTTTGGGGCCTCCCTGTTCCACACCCAAATGGCTACATGAGATAGATGCGTGAGATTGGATAACTCTCTCATGGCCAAAGAACAAAAGACGATGAGAGAATCGGCATACGTGTTATTGCGGCGGTTCAAGAACAGTGCTTGCGGCACACCCAGGGAGTAGGGGTCTCACCGGGCTTCTGCCTGAGGAGTTGTTAGACCTGCAGCGAACAACACTATAAGATGTTTCTCCAGCAAGGGCAACTGGAAGTAGCTCTCTCATACATGGACATGGCGTGAGCACCCAAGACTCTCTGTCGAATGCACTTGTTGGAACATGTGCACCGTATATGTTCACTTGTTCTTTGTAATTGTACTTCCTTGTGAACTAGGTAGTTAGGTTCTGTGGCTACGTGAGTGATTGTCCGCTTTGTCATATGCAATATTGGTTCTATTACAATGTCCACCCCGGCTAAATCCAAATCTCCAATCAACAATCTCGAAATCGCATCACCAGCTCGGTCGGATCCCATCACAGCCACTCCAACTCCTCAATCATTCCACACCCCATGCACCTTCCTTCTACCCCAAAACCATCCGAACCCCTTCAAAACATCTCAAAAAACGACCAAGGCAGCGCCAGGCACCTCCCCGCCCCACCCGTCCCCTATGGCACTGTCTTGTCGGCCCAGAAGAGCACCAGTCGATCTGCCACCGGCGAAATGCGCACAGCACCCGTGGGCGTGATGACGCCCTCCAGTTGTAAGACACCGCCCAGCTCTTCGCGATAGTTCCTGGGGGGCGGTGAAGGATGGAGAACAAGTGAACAGCAAGACCATCTAGATTCTAGATCACCCTCATAAATGATAGCCTCCAATATCCTCCAATAAATGATATACTGTTACTATCTATCTGTTATAGACGGGATGGACATCCATTAATTAATATAGATTCCAAGAATGTCTGAACAAAATAATGGGAACGCTAAGCGGGCTCTATTTCTTTTTGCCGCTCGTCACGGCGGCTTCGTTTCCAGTGCCAGCACAGTTGGGGTTTTCCATTGCTGGAGACGTCGCGCCCTCTGCCGGCCTTCTCCGTTTTCACCGTTTTGTACAGGCTGAAACGGTCAACCAGTGACCTTTGTCCATGTCTGTCGACCGGTGTTTTCTCCCACCTTAAGTTGAAGGCTTTGTTTTCGGCTCAAGAGCAGCTAAGATTTCTGAAGGAAACGGTAGTTGAAGGACTTGAAGGACCCACTCACGTATATAAGGTTGAAGATGGTTTCAGCCAACAACAACTCAATCTGCGGCTAATAGGTCCCTTTCATCTTTCATGTTGTTTCTGGCATGTTTTCCTTTGCAATATGGGATGCCCTCTATGTTGCTGTTCTATAAGGCTGCCCCCCAAAGGGCTGCCACACAAGGCTGGAAGACTATTCGATGTCCTAACAGTACCACAAATCTCTAACCAAAACAGGAGCAACATCGACAAAGAATGCCCGTCAACCCCACTGGGATTCCCTGGGAGTGGTACAGTCTCCAGCAAGCAACGGATTTGAGAAATAGATCGCCACCAACTTACCTGAGCACGTCACAACGCACCCTGCTGATCATGGATCCTTGGGCATGTCACAGCTTCTGGGCAGGAATGTTAGGCTCTAGAAACTGAGTGACCGACTGGGACGGGGGACTTGCTAACAACCCCAAATATGGTCCTTTCCTTTCCTATCAAAATGGGGGTCAAGTCTGTGCTCTAATATTAGGTACCGGTCAGTGGAAATGCCGGCAAAAACCGGAAGATACTCGGAGTCTGGATGTGACCAGGAGGTCAAAGGCACAACTTTCCAACCGTGGGACGGTAGCGGTGGCAACCAAACACATATGACTCATATGACAATATGATAGTTGTCGACAATGCGGGTCTCATCTGGTCTACTAAGCCATACACTTAACCTGATGCATCCCGTTGCAACTTACATCCTTCAGCTCGACTTTAGGCGTGTTGCGCGGGTCACGGACAAATCCTTGTTCGGTCTGCCAGCCGTAGACATTGCTCACGCGCCGGTCATATCTGGCCCCCCTGGCCACAAAGAACGAAAAGCTCAGAGATACCTCAGCGGCGTAAGTTTTGCACACCAGTATAACTATACCCCATAGGGTCCAGGTACCTCCTGAGGATGTCCAGGCCTTTGGCCCCCCAGTTCGGCCCTTCTCTGGAAGTACAAACTCAGCTCCAAGACAAGGAGGTACCCGGACCCTTAGGGTACCATATCAACAAGCGCCTTATAACTGCATGTTTATAGACTCAAACTATCTGAAGCTCCATGTCGAACAAACATGATCCTTCACAATTAATGCTAAGTACTGAAAATGAACCAAGCAGGCTTCTCGCCGGCAAGCACATGCAAGCACTCTCACTGGCACGACAGGGCTGACGCAGTGCCGTGGGGCTTCGAAAACGAGTGGCCTTTGGTGTTGGAAAGCCCGCTCTCCGTCAGCTCGCCCAGGGGCCGGGCGAAGGACACCAGCAGGCTGCGAGCAAAGTTCACCACGGTGGGAGCGATCTCATACCTCCCCACAACACACAAGTATGCGAGTGTTCTGTTCTAAAGGACTTTTGGGCCAACACTGGGCTCATTTCAGCTGGACATGGTCAGATGTAAGATATGGCGGCATTGGTTCTCTGGCTTGGTTTGTTCCAACTGATCCATCTACGGAACACCAGCCTCCGTTTAGCAGCACAGGGGCTTCCGTTGAATTGGATCGAATTGACAAATACTTCAATTAAAAAAAATGCTTCGCAAAGAATGAAGTTGTGAACAGAAAACCAAATCTGACTTCAAGTAGTCAAACTATAGTCCTTTGTTATAGTCCTTTGTCCTGCCGTAGCTGCTTCTCTACGTGAATCACCCTTAATAAGCCAGGTTCTAAGCCTTCTAAGCGATTCTCGAAATCAACCGCGGGAAACAACCAGCCCATCTCCGACCGAGACGAACCGGTCACTGGTTCGACATGCATTGATCCCTGAGGCAGCCTATTACACTGTTCGAACACAACCCGAAAAAACATCCCTTCCACTCCGAAGCCAACGGATCAGGTCAGTTGAATCAGGCGGACTGCGAGTAAGCCACGTGGGAAAATTAAACTACATATATATATATATATGTATATATAAAAACAGTGAGCCAACCGGTAAAACTAATAGAATATAGAATCTAATAAGCGGTGATCCCATATGATCCCATCCTGTGCTCTCATGTTATAGCCCAGTGGCTGATTCTGAATGAGTTGTTCCATCCTTTCTTCGCCACTTCTGCCCTTGATTCGGTACCGGAATCGATGCTCTCGGTCCTGATTGGTGATTCCTCAGGTCCATTCAACGACCATAACGAACCGTTCGGCGTAGGCCGGACGTGATCATCAGGAAGGAGGCCGGACGGAGGACTGAATGACCTGCAATGATGATCATACTGGACCCAAAGAAGTCTGTGCCATGCTGTGGCGTCCCAACTATTACAATTACAATCTAAATGCACATTGGACAACAAACATTGCGATCCAAATGCTGCCCAGTTGCGATAGGGGCCAACTTTGAACTGCGCGTCGGATTCCGGCTCCTCTGGGTTGTCACGTTGCGGTGACACCGTTCTGTACAGGAAGGTCAGGTAGCCGGGCAACTCCAAAACCGTCCAAAACCCGTCCGCCAAAACTGGCAACGGGCAGTCTTCTTCAAGAAAGACTTCTCCAATCCAATCCTTCCTCCGAGAGACTTCCAAAAAGTGACATCGGAGTCCTCTTCAAAAAAAGCCCTTGTCAAAGAGACTCTTCATCTCAGCCCGGATCTGCTCGGGATAGCCATTGGCATCCCCTAGGAAGCCGTCCACCTGGCGGGCTCTTTGAACCCTAGGGATCCAGGTAAGGTTGGTGTATCTATGCACCATCTCTTGCAGATTTGTTCCTGACAAGCAGCTAGCAAGGGTTCAGGAACGCTCTGAAGCTCCTTGGTTCCCTGTTTCAAGGGGAATACGGGTACCCCCGGCTCCTAATCGGCCCCCCTCCTAAGCACTAGCGATGATCGCTGATCGCACGACTTCAACGGGACAAGCCTGGGAATAGCCATACTGGTCCAGTTGTCTGAGAATGGGCTGCATGTTGCTCAGCACCACGTAAGAGACTCGTGATCCGATTTGAGTCGACCGGATGTCCTGCTTCTGCTCCTCACGGGTTCAAGCTGGTGCTCTGAGGATATTCATTCATACATGCAAGCTGAGGGCAAAACAGCTGTCTTCCCTCTGGAGCAGCCTATGGAGCAACCTGCAAGAGGCATATCTGACCCTCAAGATGCTACAAGTATGTATCATGGATCGAACCCAAGTCGCGCCTGGGTAAACCAAAGGAACGAGGAAGGTACAAAGGGAGACAAGAAATGATAAGAACTACTCAGAAAAAGTCTGTCAGCCCGTGTGCCAGCTGAAACAATTTATGGTCAGTCTTTCTCAAACATCTGCAGGAACCTGAAACAAAACAAAACACCAGTTGAGAGCTGACTTGAAGCATCGAACTGATTGACAGTCCGCACACACGATTCGTCCGAACCACTGCCCCACGGCCGCATCTTCGCCCTTGATTCGACGAGTCGAGGGATCCCACTGGCGGACTAAACCCTGTTGCCCTTCATCGAGTACCTTCAGACCAGTTCCCCAACACTCCATGACATATTGATCTCCATTGGGTTCATTTCAGAGGGCTAGTACGTAGTGGCCCAGGTCCTACGTTGTCATGCTTTCGTGCCCGGGAGAAAGTCGTGCAAGGCATTCCCAGCCAAACAACTTAACCCGCCCGCTGTGCAAGAAGTGGGTATCCATTCCTTGGGTATATCCTATTCCCTGTAACAGTGAATGATGATGGTTAGTAAAAGCCTTTCTCTAAAATAGTAATGATTGTTTATACCGACTGTTGAGGGTAATAGGACCAGGACATCCCCAATCCATTCCACACAGTTGGAGCGATATTTTTTGGGGGGGTCCCCAGTTCGAAAGCTTGCTTGGCGCATCACCCCCGCCGCTCGGTCGCTAGGTCCTCAGCCATAGGTGTCGGTCCGAAACTCGCCCAAAGCCGCACCACATGGCGCCGCGTGCCACGGCGAAAGGCCCAGGGCACCAGAGCCAACGCCAAGTGAAGCGGTCCTGGGTGACCAAAGGTTCCAAAGGGGTGGTTGTTGGGGGCCTGGATGGCCCAGACTTTCCCCATCACACACACACATTGGATGGGTCTGAAATTGACTCTTGGTCGCAGAAGCTAGGGGTCATTAATCCTTTTGACGTCATCATCAAGCTTTTTGGCAGCCCGAATTGCACACTTGACCTCCCATGATCAACAAAAATGGCTGCTTCTATGGGAGGGGGAGGACTTGATCCACCACTTTGAGTTCTCCACGACTTCCCCTGCCGTGTGGCTTCTGTTCCACGTCGACGCCCCGGTCCGCGCCGTCCGCAGCGGAGCCCGCGTGGTCCACGTGCGCGGCGCGCAGCTCGGGGGGGTGCGGAGCGAGGTAGGCAGCTCGAGCGCCATGGTTCACGGTGGGCCGACTGAGCCGACCACGGAGATGGAGGGCGCAGGTGGAGAAGAACTCCACGTGCTTGCGTTTGGCGCATAGGAGTCATGCTGTATATATTGGTGGTGAGCCTTCACATATTCTGCTTGAAGAATACTTGTATGTGCCAAACAGTAACATCATGTTATTAATTATGTAAAATGTGGCTGTGTATATGACACAGAAAACAGAGAAACATAGTTATATGCTCACAGTTGTACATGATATTACATATGCAAGCACCAGCCCCGCCAGTTGCTCCAGTGTTCCATCAAGGCGCTGCAAAGCCCTGACAATGCTGGCAAGTCCGGAGGAGCTGGTTCCTGCGCGGAGGAATGCAGCCAGCTTAAGGGGGCCCATATGGTTTCTCAAGATCCTCAGGTAGGAAGGGAGCCGACTTCATCGCCTATCCCATTCACTCCCATTCACATTCCCAGTCTCAACCCTTCAGGGATGATTCAAGCAGGTACCTACCTAGCTTGATCCCTTTCAGACGTTCCCTCCCACTTGCACCTCCCACTGGGGAGGGGTGATGGTGGTTGGGCAAGCCCAGGTCCATCTCGACGCAATCTACTTAGCACCGAGGGCGGTTGCACAGCTGCCTCTGCTGGGTGACCCACCTCCAACTTCCCCTGCCGCGTCCCCTGCCTCGGCCCGGCCGCCGCCTCGGACGCCGCGTCGCCCAGCGCACCGAGTGCAGCAGCTCCCAGGGCGGCCGCGGCAGGTGCGGTGGCCGCGGTGCCCAGGGCGCTGGCTGCAGCGGCGAGGAGACACAGTCCGCGGGCACGGGTGGGCAGCAAGTGGGTCAGGAAGGCCTGATGAGCGAAAGACCCTCGGCCTGACGACACAAGACTCTGGAACAAACTGGACGTGCATGAGGGAAGGCTGAGACAAAGCTAGCTGACAAAACAGCTGGCCTCATTGCTCCAGAACAGCGCGTATGAAAGAGAGTCCAAAGAAGTCAAGCTGACAAAGGACAGCCACAAGCTGGCAGACTGCAAGGCTCCTGCGTGCTCGGCAACACTGGAAGATCTGGAAGATAAGCTTGGGGGCCCACAGAAGCACGCCCAATTCCGTTCTGAACATAGCAATACCGGATGCAATTAAAGCGGACAGCTAGGCCTTCCACAGGTGTCCGTTTGAGGCATACTGTTTGAATATGTATACACATACTTGACTTGGCTCAATATCTACTCATGACTCATGACTCATCACAGTGTTTGTTGCAGTAATTAACTAATTTTCACGCACACACCTTGGTGCTTATACACACCCCAGGCAACATAGTGACTATTGCGAATTAGTCAACTCCACAAATCACCTGACTTGTGTTCCCTACTACAGCCTGGCTTTGGCCTCCAACCGTTCCCGGCGAGGGCCGTGGCTCCTGCCAAAAGTGTCCAAAACCATATCGGTCCAAAGCTCTTCGGGCACCTCAGGCTGGCTCACCTCCAATCCCAACCTGAAAAAGTCCTATTGATGACCGGATATCGGATATGGAATCCAAACGCCGAACTCGCTCCGAGTGCGGGGTGGGGTGATTGGTTTTGATGTATATACCTGGTTCTCAGGGACCCCCACAAAGTTTGGATTGGAGGCTTTGACACCAAAATCATCTGCGGAACGCCTCTTTGGAGCAAAGAGATTCTCTTTGCTCTGGGGGAGGTGGAACAAGACTATGAAACGCATGCATTTCAGTGTCTAGCCAGGTATGACTGTGGCTCTAAGAATGTCCAAACACCTTATTTGAACAAAGGCCATTCACCATCTCCTGAGCCAACAGTGACGGGTGACCTAACTTCACATCCGAGCTGCGGCTTGTGGAGGGACTCCCACGGCAGATCGCTGCCGGGCAGTAAAGCCAGGAGCCCTCGCTGAGACATGCGGCGCAAATGTGGTGAGAAGGGTGGCCGTGAGACATTCTATTTTGTCCTCTCCTAACCTCGATCTATTGTTCAATATTGTTCATATCTTTGAGATGTTTGGAGCGTTTTTGGTGGCAAGTCATTTGCACGAGCTGACACAAAGACTTCTGCATCAACTGAATCATTTTGTGAAAGGCACTCATCCACGTGAGCAGCTTTGTCCAGAAGGTTCATTGGCACTGTGTTACCGTGACACTCTTTCGCTCAGTCTCGGTATCACCTCTCACTACATATGATCGTAGTCCCATCAGAACCATCGCACGTACCACAACAACTACGCTAGGCTGCTAGACCCTATACTACTGCAAGAAAGCAGAGTGACGGAGGCCCTCCCCAAGGGGCAGAATATGTTCTAGATGTGCGCATGTGAATAGACAAAACAATGTGCTTGCGCATGCTTGCCAATGAACATCTTGATCAAATATTGTTTTACTTGTATATCAATGAAATTATATACTATATTATATACTATATATACTATACGTATATACATTGGCAACAAAACACTTGTGATCAATTGTGTCTTGGATTGATTCAGCAATATGCACTTGCAATCAGTCTAGCCTTGAGAGCTCTGTGGACAGTCGGATTGCTTGTTGACCTTCACGATCTGCAGGTGGGGGGGCTACCCAGCTTGCCCGAACATGGAGAGTTCTGCTTACACTCCTCGGGATCTCTTGGAATCATCATGGAAATGGAGTTCGCCACCTGTTTGGTATACGGATTTCATTGTTGTCCAAGGAGGTATACTCCATGATGATTCTAGGGACCTCTCGCAACACGAGGCACGATGACACACGATGACATTCCCACCTAGGGCCACTCCTGCTTGAATCATTGATGCAGCCTGGGCGAGTTAGAGCTGATCACGTCGACATGTGGGTGTAGAGGTTGAGGCAATAACACCCATACCTCGTGTCCGACATACTCCAGGGCACAAATCGTTGCAGGTAGGGGCCTATCATATCTCCAAAACCCACGGACAGGATGCTGGAACCAGAAGTCATCAAAAGCCTGTTGAAAGCATGTATCACTTTTGTTGGGTCGATAAGGGCCTCCTCCAGTAGGCCCTTGTCGCTCCGTGACTACTCGAATTCGGCTCTGCTATTTCGCGCATCTTCAAGGTTCGCCAATTGGGTGTTCGATTGATGGTTGCAGAGAATCTACATTCTTCTTACTTCAGGCAGTTCCAAGAAAGAACTGATCAAACTCCAGCTTCTTATCTAGCATGCTTCGCTCTGCCCGGGAGTCACCCATCAAAGAACGAGGCGTTTCATGCGAGCCCTTTCATATCAAACAAGAATTCAGCTTATATGGCTGAGAACATGCTGAAACTATTCCGCTGTGACCCATGTCAGATTCTCCATGGAGTATCTGGTGGTAAGACAAATGCATCCTCCAAAATCTTCCAACCCTTGCTCCCTGTTCCTTCACCAGACCCCTTCCCCACAAGATAACTTCCCCCCCTGCAGCTTCATTAGCTCGCTTCCAACAAGTCGCCAGCGCATGGCTCCACGGACTTCCCGACGAACTCCCCGCACTCTGAAAGGAGATGCGAGCCACGGACCTGGCCGCGTCGCACAAACCCGGTGAGGCCACGGACGGAACAGGCCATGCCATGCAGCGAGCGGCCGTGCGAAAGTTCATCCACTGAAGAACTGATGAACTTTCGCATACATATGTTCGAGTCTGAACAGAAGGTTGATGGTTATTGTACTGCATAATGACCACCAAAGGGGAACCTTAAAAGGAACATCGTATGGAGTGATTACAAGAAAGTATAAAAGCTGGAGCATTAAATATGGAAATTAAAACATGTGATTTGCTGTGTGGTTGCACATCACAAGTTTCCACTTGAGAGTCCATTGCTTGAAGGGTTCCTGATGGCTCCTGTGAGCCTTTTGTTGGGGCAAAAGTCTCGGGTTTGGGATCTACAGCCTTCCTTGAAACAAATGACTGGGCTCTAAGATTGCAAGGTGTCAAGGGGTCCAAACCCAAAGGTTTTTGGCTTAAATGAGCTAAACCTGCAATTTCCATCCCTGCCATTTCGGAGGTGAATCGGAACGCCCAAAACCAAGCCCAAGCCCAAAGATTAAGGATGCGCAAGCTGCAAGAAGACGTAGGACTCCAATAAGATCACCTGGATCAGTGCACGGACAAGGGTCGTTTCTCCGTTTCAATCCCGGTTGTCATCGGGTCGGATGTGAACAGGCATCTCTGGCCACGGACAACGTCGGGGATTCCCTTCAAAAATGGTTCATAAAGGATTCGGTTCAAGAAATCGGGATAGGTTGTCATACTGCAGACGTTGGAGGGGATCACCTATACATGATGAACATCAAATAAGGTCTTCAAGATGTCCGGGTGCCCATCCAGACTTGCCATCTCACTCCAGACGTGATCTTTTGGCTCCAGGCCACTTCAACACTATTGACCTCCAACGCCCAGCGCAAGTTGGCGCTGCGCCACGGTGCGCTCCGTGGAACGGCCAGTGCTTTGCGGAACAGGTTTCGCCAGCGGCTGGAGTGGCGCACGAGGAAGGCCACAAGGAAGAGAAGAAGGATGACCTGAAGAACTTTTTCCGCTACTACATTGCAGGCCTATACTAGGTTGGAGGCCATGGATCTGTCCAACAAAATCAACAAACATGGAAGATTATGGAAGTGTACCAATGATAACATTTGACGATCATCCAACCCTCCATGTTTACCCGGGGTGAGGCATTCTGAGATGAGTGACATGATTTCTGGATTCTTACTCTCATTTGAGCTTGATATGACCCACAGGGTCATCTTCCTTATTGCTTTGGCATTGCTCTCTTCAAGGGTCTTTCGAAACACCTTCAATCTGGAGATTCAATCTGCTAGCACCAATACCTGGTCACTGAAGGTAATTGTAATGCTGGATGCCTTGGATATTGTTCTAGGCTTGCAGCATCATCAGTTTCCTGTGCACTTTGGTGTTTGTGTGAGTGTGCATCCGCCAGTCACCCAAGTCACCACACAATTCTATAATACTTATAGTAGCTACAAATAAAACTACACAAAGATATATATATAGAGAGAGAAATATCGAGAGATATACTATGATTGCATGTTAATTAGATTCATAGACCAAGTGTCACAGCACCCGCTTCAGCACCATCCTCTCCAAAAGCACTGAGACGAGGCTCTACCACCACACTCCAGCTGCCCTCCGTGCTAGGCCGCTGGTGGCCAAGGTGGCGTTTGTTTTTCGTCATAGGGCGGCTGTGGCGCAAGGGCCAGGCCATGCTCCTGGGAACATCCCTGGACCGTCTGGGCAACCCAATGCCGACAATGCCCGAACCAATGGTTCTGGCCGACAGGACTTTATCAAAAAAAGGCTGACATTAGACGATGGGAAAATAACACGTCCGTTCATGCTGAAGTCTATTGTAAGCGGAAGCGAGCTTCAAACAGAGCGCTGAGCCTACACACGCAATGATTTGCACACAATGGGCTGCACAAACTACATTACATTTGACATAAATGTCCAGAGAGAACAATCTGAGGTTCCCAGAGTGATCCTCACGAAGGTTCCCAAACAAAGCCAGCTCTTACATTGAGTTTGGAAGTCAGCCAAAAAATATTATTGTTTATGTATTTGTATGATTTCGTTATGGTTTTCTTATGAAACTAAATATGCCAAAAATATCATGTGTTTGTAGTTATTTTTTGCGTAAAATCAGGAAGCTAGTGGTGACAGAACAACAACACACGGAGTACACAATCTAAGACCCAGACCAAATATGAGCAACCCTGCAGAGAACACCTGGCAACAGCAGTCACTGGCTAAACAACTCTCAAACCTAAACCTTAAAAGGCAGCTGGTAGCCCAAGCCCTAGACGTTTGGGCACTGGACACACGGGGACGGACGGAGACCAAGTGGAGCCCAGACCGCCTAGTGACCACTTCTGCGGCCATAAAAAAAGATGGAGCCCACGAACCCGAATGCAAACACATATGTCAATCCACTGTGTATAGAAAGAGACACAGCCGGTTAGATTATCTTTTTCACACTCCGGTACGCTGTTGGACATCATGCGCTGAGGAATCCACCACCAAGGCAGCATGTGCTGGGGACTTCACCACCAAGCTCCGTCTTCGTCATGAAGGGTTTTCGTTTTGCATTCAAATCAAGCACTGGCGTAAAGGTTCTGGCAGATCCACATCACGAAAGAAACAATGGCATTGTCCCAAAATCTCGAAAAGAAGCACTTGAAAATGATAACCGTCCACATAATACAGAGAAATCCGCAACTGCGGCTGTGGGACACTCTTAAGGGACACTCTTGTGAGACACTCTTGTGGGACACTGTTGCGGGACACTCTTGTGGGACACTCTTACGTGACACTCTTGTAGGACACTCTTGTGGGACACTCTGGTAGGACACTCTTGTGGGACACTCTTA